AGATTTAAGCCTCATTAGGGAAGTTGAAGTAACTTCTGTCAGGTTTTTTGTTTTGGCTTCTGTTAAGTTTTGGTTGACCAGAGAGATAGCTGACCATGGACTGGATTCCATGGTTGGGCCAGACAAAACCTCTCCCAGAAGAGAGCCGGGCCTTTGGAATCTCAGGTTCCCATAGATATATCTATATCTCAGTTAATACCAGTTAACAAAGGCAGTGAAAACTATAGTAAGGCCCCACATCTAGAATTGGGGGCTCAATTTCTTCCTGAGGACCTAATTAGTTTCTCTCTTTGTTTTTGTTTTAAATTTTTCTTGAGTTTTGCTTTACACACATCCACAGAAAGATTCCATCCACAGTTCAAATTAAATCTAAAAATAAACAAATACACAAAAATACATAATAACTAAATATCTTTCCCTCCACCAATTACCCATGATTATTATTCTGAGTTATCAAACCTTGTCTTTTGAGTTGACTTCTGCCCACCAACTCAATTTGAGTCATTCTTTTATTTCCTTAACTGCCTTCTTTAGATGGTCTTCATTTCTTGGTATTAACTTATTTAATTATAGTAATTGTTTTGTCTTTGGCAAAAATTAATCAAAGCATAATAAAGATTTTATTTGAGAACAATGTTTTTCTAGGTAATTTTTATAGACTGCCATTCCTTACTGAACTTTTGGCTTGTTCGGTAACTAATTCTTTCTGTCATTTTAGCCAGCTCAATATATTCAAATAACTTTATTTGCCGCTCTTCCTTTGTTGGAATCTCTTCCCCCTCCCGTTTTCTGGCTATGAGCATTCTTGCCACTGTAGTGGCATATAAAAATATCCTTCTTTTATCGCTTGGGATATCTGATGATAGTAAACCCAAGAGAAATGCCTCGGGCTTTTTGACAAAAGTTTGTTTGAACATTCTTCATAAATACTATCCCAAAAGTTCCTAATTTTCTTACATCCCCACCACATTTGTAACATTGTTCCTTCTGTCTGCTTACACCTCCAACATTTATTAGAATTTGTTTTGTACAACTAGTTTACTAGTTTACCTAGTTTACTAGGTATTAAATGCCATCTGTAAAACATCTTCATAATATTTTCTCTTAGTGTGTAGCACGCTGTGAATTTTAAATCTCTGATCCACAATTTTCCCCATGCGTCCATCTGTATTGTATGCCCAAAATCTTTTGCCCATTTAATCATGACTTCTTTTAGCTCTTCGTCTTTTACCTCCCAATCAAGTAGTATAATCTATACATTTTAGATAATACTTTTGCTTCTATTTTGTACTAATTCTTTTTCTAGCTTTGAATTTTCTGCTGTGAATCCATTTTTCTTATCTACCGGTAATTTTGAAGTTTCATTCAATTGATAATATTGCAGCAAGTCTGTCACATAATGCCTACTTTCTTCAAATTTATTTAACTTCAATTGATTTCCCTCCTCTTCCAATAATTATTAAAGGTTGCCCAATTCTTTTCCATATGTTTTTCTTTACCGAAACGGCTTCTAACGATGAAAGCCACCAGGGGTTTTTCTGTTCCAATAGGCCTTTGTAGTTATCCCATACTGTGTATAGTGCTTTCCTTATTATACGGTTCAGAAAACCCCAGTGAACCTTCACCTTTCCGTAACATAAATAGGCATGTTACCCAAATCTGTTGTCCAATCCTTCCCAATCCAATAATTCCATAATTTGCAAAATTAACCATTCTTTTAACCAGCATAGACATGATGCCTCATAATAAATCTTCAAATCTGGCAGGGCAAAACCTCCTCTTTCTTTAATATCTATAAGTAACTTGTTTTATTCTGGGCCTTATGTCCTGCCAGATTGATAAGGTTGATAAGTGTCTCTTCCATTCTTTGAAGCATCCTGCCTCGCCTATCACTGGGATTGCCTAAAATAGGAACAACATTTTGGGCAGCACATTCATTTTAATTGTGGAGATTCTCCCCCCAAAAGAGAGATTCAGTCTTTTCCATATTAATAATTTTGTTTATCTCTTTCCAAGTCTTATGTAATTATCATTGTATAAATTTATGTTTTTCACAGTGATCCAAATTTCTAAATATTTATTCCCCCCACACACACACAATTGATAGACTAGATGATGACTGCAGTTGTAATTTGTCTTGCGCCTCCGTATTTTTAGCCAACAATTTAGTTTTGTCTGTATTCAATTTAAATCCTGCTACCTGGTCGAATCCGTGGATTCTTTCTAGAATTTTTGGTAAACTTTCAAATGGGTCTCCTGTTGTTTTTACTAAATCATTTGCATAGGCTTTTAATTTAAAGGCTTTATTTCTTACTCTTATTCCTTTTATCTCTGAATTTTCTCTAATTGTCATTGCCAATATTTGCAGAACTATGATAAATAGCAGTGGGGTTAATGGGCAACCGTGTCTGGTTCCCTTCTTTATATTGAAGCGGTCAGATTTATTATCAATTTTGCTGTCTGATTTTGATAAATTACCTCTGTGCTTCTCCTAATCCCATCACCTTTATGGTTTTTTTCCGTAAATTTCCAAGATATATTGTCAAAAGCTTTCTCCGCATCGACAAGCATCAAGATTGCCTGCTAGTCTGGTGTCATTTCTAAGTACTCCAATATATCAATGCTTCTTGCCATGCTTCTGGTCCTTTCCCTTCTTTTAAGATCTTGTTCTTAACTGCTTTTAACGGTATTGCAAGTGAATCTTCTAATTTTTTTGTAATAGCATGCCGGCAGTCCATCTGGTCCGGGAGACTTTCCTGGTTTCGCCTTCCTTGTCACTTGATGGATTTCCAACATTGTTATCAGAGAATTTAAACATTCAATTTTGTCACTTAAAATCCTTGGAAATTTACTTTTTAAAAAATATTTTTCTATTTTATCACTGTCTTTTTCTGTTTGATACATTTTTTTGAAATAACTTTACTTTTTAATTTATTGCTTCTGGGTCATCAATGTTGTTGTTTAGTCATAGAATCATAGAATCATAGAGTTGGAAGAGACCACAAGGGCCATCGAGTCCAACCCCCTGCCAAGCAGGAAACACCATCAGAGCACTCCTGACATATGGTTGTCAAGCCTCTGCTTAAAGACCTCCAAAGAAGGAGACTCCACCACACTCCTTGGCAGCAAATTCCACTGTCAAACAGCTCTTACTGTCAGGAAGTTCTTCCTAATGTTTAGGTGGAATCTTCTTTCTTGTAGTTTGGATCCATTGCTCCGTGTCCGCTTCTCTGGAGCAGCAGAAAACAACCTTTCTCCCTCCTCTATGTGACATCCTTTTATATCTTTGAACATGGCTATCATATCACCCCTTAACCTCCTCTTCTCCAGGCTAAACATGCCCAGCTCCCTTAGCCGTTCCTCATAAGGCATCGTTTCCAGGCCTTTGACCATTTTGGTTGCCCTCCTCTGGACACGTTCCAGTTTGTCAGTGTCCTTCTTGAACTGTGGTGCCCAGAACTGGACACAGTACTCCAGGTGTGGTCTGACCAGAGCAGAATACAGTGGCACTATTACTTCCCTTGATCTAGATGCTATACTCCTATTGATGCAGCCCAGAATTGCATTGGCTTTTTTAGCTGCCGCATCACACTGTTGGCTCATGACAACTAGTTGTCTAGTCATGTCCGCCTCTTCGTGACCCCCTGGACTAGAGCACGCCAGGCCCTCCTGTCTTCCACTGCCTCCCACAGTTTGGTCAAACTCAAGTTTGTAGCTTCGAGAACACTGTCCCACCATCTCGTCCTCTGTCGTCCCCTTCTCCTTGTGCCCTCCATCTTTCCCAACATCAGGGTCTTTTCCAGGGAGTCTTCTCTGGAAAGACTCTTCTTCTTCATCATCATCAATAACCTTCCCTTTTTCTTCCAGTTTCCCTATAATCCATTCTTTTTGTTTCTTTTGTAGTTACCATGCAAGCAGTCTTCCTGGTTTATTGGTGAATTACAAGTTTTTTCTGTTTTGATTATTTAATCTTTTGTTCAGTTTCTTGATTTATGAGTATAGAAAGTTGTGTTTGTAGCATTTTGATATTTTGTTTCACCGTCTCATTTTTTTGTTTTTCAACAGTTCTTTCTGTATAAAAAAACTCCTCATTACTGCCTTTCCTGTATCCCACACTGTATTTATATCAATTTCTTCACTTAAAATTTTCTACTAACTGAAAAATAGTTATTGGAAGTCTTTCTTATTTGGTTCTTTTTTCTCTAGTCATTTTATCTAACTCTAATGAGGGAATGCCATACAGCTCTCCCCGTAATACAATTTTTTAAAATTACTATAAACTAGCATTTTCTCAAATAATCTAGGGTTTGCATATATTATCACTCCTCTTTTTTATCATGTCTGATGAGATAAATGCTGAACCCAGTTTTTTATTTATTAAGATTTTTATGTTTTCTGGCAATGTGTGTTTCTTCCAAACAAATAATGTCCCTTTCCACCCATTAATATGCTCGCTATTTTGTTTCTTTTCATCTTATTGTTCAATCCATTTACAGTCCAAGAAATATATTTTACATTCATCATTTAATTGTAATTTATTTCAATACTTCTTTCAGTAAACAAATATACCAAAAAATGAATGTAAAGAGAAAATTCCGGACACATTCCTAAACAGTAAAACCTTAACCTTAGATTCTCTTCTCTAGTCCTCTTGATCACCTGTTGAGTCTACTCTTTCCTCCCCTTTGTCTGTTTGTTCTAGGTGGCGATGAATTGGAAAGGGAGATTGACGAAATCTACACAGTGGATGAGCCATATACATACATGGAATGTGAAGAGAACTTCAGCCAGAGCTCCTATTCTGCTTCCCAGGACATAAATCCCATTGGATTTCTCTATCAATACAACGAATGCATAAATAGCTTCATTTGGCAGGATGGTCGCTCGTCACAGGACACAACGCACAAGGGGGAGAAACCATATCTGTGCTTGACGTGTGGGAAGAGCTTCAGTCGGAAGGACCACCTTGTTTCCCATGAAAAAATTCATACAGGGGTGAGACCCTATCAGTGCTTGGAATGTGGGAGGAGCTTCATTCGTAGTTCCGCTCTCACTTCCCATCAGAGAATTCATACTGGGGAGAAACCCTATCAGTGCTTGGAATGTGGGAAAAACTTCAGCTGGAAGGAAAGTCTCACTTCCCATCAAAGAATTCATACGGGCCACAAACCGTATCAGTGCTCGGAATGTGGAAAGAGCTTTCGCCAGAGGGGCGATCTCACTTCCCATCAGAGAATTCATACAGGGCAGAAACCATTTCACTGCCAAGAATGCGGAAAGAGCTTCACACAGAGCACTAGTCTCATGCTCCATCAAAGAATTCATACAGGGGAGAAACCGTACCAGTGCTTGGAATGTGGAAAGAGCTTCAGTCGGAAGGACCAGCTCACTTCCCATGAGAGAATTCATACAGGGGAGAAGCCCTATCAGTGCTTGGACTGTGGAAAGAACTTCAGTCGGAGGGTGAATCTCACTTCCCATCAGAGAACTCACACAGGGCAGAAACCATTTCCCTGCTTGGAATGTGGAAAGAGCTTTAGTCAGAGGGTGAATCTCGCTTCCCATCAGAGAATTCATACAGGGCAGAAACCATTTCACTGCCAAGAGTGCGGAAAGAGCTTCACACAGAGCACTAGTCTCGTGCTCCATCAAAGAATTCATACAGGGGAGAAACCGTACCAGTGCTTGGAATGTGGAAGATGCTTCCGTCAGAGCACCTGTCTCGCTTCCCATCAGAGAATTCATACAGGGGAGAAACCATTTCCATGTCAAGAGTGCGGAAAGAGCTTCTCACAGAGCACAGGTCTCATTCTCCATCAAATAACTCATACAGGAGAGAAACCATATGAGTGCTTGGAATGTGGGAAGAGTTTCACTCGGAACAACCAACTCACTGCCCATCAAAGAATTCATACAGGGGAGAAACCCTACCAATGCTTGGAATGTGGGAAGACCTTCCGTGATAGGAGCAACCTAACTACCCATGAAAGAATTCACAGCGGGGAGAAACCATTTCAATGCCAAATTTGTGGGAAGAGCTTCACACAGAGCACTGGTCTCATGCTGCATCAAAGAATTCATACAGGGCAGAAACCGTACCAGTGCTTGGAATGTGGAAAGAGCTTCAGTCAGAGCACACATCTTACTTCCCACCAGAGGATTCATACCGGGCAAAAACCGTTTCAGTGCTTCGAATGTGGGAAGAGCTTCAGTCGGAAGGAAAGTCTCAGTTTCCATGAAGCAACTCACATGGGGAGCAGCCAGTTAAATGCTAGTGATGTGGAAACAGCTTCAATTTCAGGAGAAGTCTCACTCTCCTTTTAAAACATCATACTGGGGAAGGATACCAGTGCTTGAAACTTCTGCTAAGATGGAAAAAAAAACAGCAGAAAAGCATGCTTGGCCTATCTCAAAAAAGGCCTCTCATGATAAGGACACCTTCCTCTTCTGGAGTACAATATCAGGCCTGCTGGAGAATGCTTGCAATCTTCCAATATCCTCATTCACTCTCTCGTGGGCAGGATGATGACGTCAACCAAATAACAGAATCTTTGGAAAACTTTCCATACTGGCCTCCAGTATCTATAATCGAGGTCAAGTACCTTACTTCACAGTCAAAAAATAATAAAGCACCTGGCATAGACTGTTTGGCCCCAGAACTGTTGAAATCTAACATCGGCTGGTGGGCCTCCCAGATGGCAGTAATATTCTCATTTATCAATTCATCCGGGTTATTTCCTGAAGTCTGGGCCACAGCTGCAGTCATCCCTTTATTCAAAAAGGGCCTTCCATCCGATCCGCCTAGTTATAGACCAATTCGTTTGCTACCTGTAATTAGCAAATTATATGCAAAGCATCGTTACAATAAGATAGTTAATTAGATGGAGCTATTTTTGCCGAAGAGCAAGCAGGAATTAGATAAGGCAGATCCGCTATAGACCATTGCTTAGTACTAGCCTATTTTATAGATAAGTATGATAAGAAACCAGGTGGTGCGCTATATGCAGCTTTCATTGATCTGAAAGCTGCGTTCAATTCAATCTCTCGAGTAAGACTGGGATAAGTTGAACTCTTCAAGTATAGATAAAAGATTATTGTTATTGATTAAATGTCTGTATAAAAACGCTGTGCTGAAAGTGTGTTGCTCTACAAATGGACAGCTCACAGGATCCGTACCAACCACAAAGGCAGTTAAGCTTTGTTTTATTTATATATTTAATTTATATATAAATGATATTGTCCAGAGTTTAACATCTCCAGAGGATCATGCCTCTACATTGGCCACAAAAGCCATTTCTATATTATTATACAGAGATGATGCGGTACTTCTATCTAGAACAAGAGTAGGCCTAAAAAGATGGATGAGGGCATTCTCAGGATACTGCCAAAGAGAACAGCTGGCTGTGAATTGCAAGAAAACTAAAGTTTCAAGAAATGATAGGGCCCATAGATGGTATATTGATAATAAGTTGATCGAACAAGTTAAAGTCTTTAAATACCTCTGCCTTGTTTTTCAGTCAATAGGGTCATGGGGAGCACATCAGAAATGTGCAAAGGAAAAAGTGTCTCGAAGCGCCAAAATTCTGTAATGCTTTTTCCATACAAAAGGTGGCGATTGCACACCATCAGCCCTTGAAGTGTTTAAAGCCAAACCCATAGCACAGTTATTATATGGGGCTCGGATTTATAGAAGCTGCTCAGTCTAAGTTTCTAAGGCAGTTTTCCCCCCTGTACAATCCTGTGTTCCAAATTCTTCATTGTGCTTGGAAGTAACCCGTTCTGGTACTTCCGGTTTTTGGTGGCCCGCAACCCAAAAAAACGCAACCTGAAGCGTCTGTAACCCGAGGTATGACTGTACAGCCTTCAGCTGTACTTGAGGATCTGTTTCAAAAAATTCCGCTGGGGAAATGGTGATGTCCCTGTGGAGATGGCAGCATTGAATCAGTAGCTCATGCGCTTCTGGCTTGCATTCTTTGTAAAGGTTTGAGGAGTGAGGTTATTGCCCCTCTGTTATTGTCTATGACAAGTCACTCAACCACTGCTACTGGGTCCTTCTAGCAGATCAAGATAACCAGGAGACAGCAAAAACCGCAATTTTTTTAGCAGGGGCAATTAGAGCAAGATCTATTACAGTCATACCTCGGGATAAATATGCTTCAGGTTGAGCGTTTTCCGGTTACTCTCCACGGCGACCCAGAAGTAACGGAATGTGTTACTTCTGGGTTTTGCCGCTCGCGCATGCGCAGATGCTCAAAATGACATCATGCGCGGAAGCGGCAAATCGCGACCCGCAGACGTGGGTTGCGTTCGCTTCAGGATGCGAACGGGGCTCCGGAACGAATCCTGTTCGCATCTAGAGGTACCATTGTATTTGATTATTGATGTAAACTTCCAGAATGTATTTTGTATAGTTAAGTTTTTACCCCTATCTCCAGTCCAATGTGTTGTATTTTAGTGCTTGAAATGTGGGAAGGGCTTTATTAAAGGCACAGTAGTCAATGGGGGGGGGGCGTTTCAGTGCTTGGAATGTGAAAAGGAGGGAGAAGCCTGTGGGCTTCAGTCAGAGGGTCAGTCTCACAGCCCATCAAGGAACTTGCAGAGGGGAGAAAGCTTTTTTCTTTCTTTTTTTAGAAAAAGCTTTATATTCTCTCTTGAAAGTTCAGAAGTGCATAATTACAGGTGCACAAAGACACACACAAAAGAAAATACCCGTGTAGAAAACAAAACAGAATAACAAAAAAGTATAAATTCCAAAAAAAAATAAATGTTATTGTAGTTAAGTAGCCCTTAATATGGTTCTAGATAGCATGGAGCCATCGGAAGTCTACATTTATACATGACTTGTTCACGTGTAGCGAGTTTGTACATATCTTCAATCCAGTTGTGGAAGAGAGCCTCATTTTTATTTTTCCAGTTCATCTATACCTGTCCTTTTGCCATAGTTATGAGTGCAGAGAGTGTGTTCGTATTGTCCCTTAGTTAGATTCCATGTTTTGGGGATATAATTGAAAAGGATGTTTTCCTCTGCAAATCTAGGGTTATTCCTTACAGTTGTGTTGATCATCTCTTATTACCTTCTGCCAAAACTTTATCAATGGGCAACATTGTTCAAACCTGTGTTTCAGAGAAGCATTATCTCTGTTGTATCTTCAGCACCTGGATGTCTTAGACGGTCCTTTCACAAATAAGCGCAATGGAGCCCAGTAAGTTCTAAATATTATTTTTTCTTTTATGTGCTTTACTTGAGGGCCCGAGATAACACAGTTTCCCATTATTTGGTCAAGATTGGCATATCCCACTCTGTATTTCATTTCTCCTTTATGAACTATGTATAAAACTGGTTTGCTATAATAAACATTTACACAAGGCAATAGAGGGTCTTCTTTTGTAACATAAATCAACTGATTTCATACCTCTGGGGTCTCTGAGGCTGTAAAAGCTGCTCATCTGTAAAGAGCCGTTCCCCATGTGCCTTCTCTGGAGATATTGTCATTGAGCAGTTAAAGGTTATTCATATTGGTCTCTTAACACGGAATATGCATAGAATTCGCCCTTCTCATCTTGTAGTGGCCTCCATATTGAGCTTTTTCTGAGCTTTCGCTTCCATTGGTGACAACCACCTTGGGGTTTTATTTTCAAGCAAGTCCTTATATCTTATCCAAACATTGAACAGTGCTTTTCTGACAATATGGTTTTTGAACGCTTTATGTGCTTTAACCTTGTCATACCACAGATATGCGTGCCACCCAAATACATTGTTAAAACCTTCCAAATCCAGCACGTCAGTGTTTTCATCTTGGTCTCTTAAGACGGAATATGCATAGAATTCGCCCTTCTCGTCTTGTAGAGTGGTGACCAACAGCACAATGTCTGCCCCTTTTGTACCACCCAGAGACACTAGACAAGGCTGCCCACTTTCGCCTTTACTTTTAAATATCTCGTGGGAACCCCTGACGTTTATTGCCAGACAGAATAATGAAATCTTTGGTTTAAGTGACTCAAATACACATTGGTAACATTCACAGATGACATTGTTTTGTTTATCACAAAATCTCACATTACTCTTCAAATATTAAGGCCAAATCTAGATGTTCTTGGCAAATATCTCAGGATATACTGTAGGGACGTGGGTGGTGCTGTGGTCTAAACCACAGAGCCTAGGGCTTGCCGATCAGAAGGTCGGCGTTTCGAATCCCCGCGACGGGCTGAGCTCCCGTTGCTCGGTCCCTGCTCCTGCCAACCTAGTAGTTTGAAAGCACCTCAAAGTGGAAGTAGATAAATAGGTTCCACTCCGGCGGGAAGGTAAACGACGTTTCCATGCGCTGCTGTGGTTCGCCAGAAGTGGCTTAGTCATGCTGGCCACATGACCCAGAAAAACTGGACAAACGCCGGCTCCCTCGGCCTATAGAGGGAGATGAGTGTGCAACTCCAGAGTCGTCCGTGACTGGACCTAATGGTCAGGGGTACTTTTACCTTTATACTATAAATTGGTCTAAATCAGAGTTAATGGTAATAGGAATTTAAGGGGGGGGGAGAATTCAACTGTTCAAACAACACTAATTTCATTATTCTATAGGCAACATTAAATATGTAGGCCCAGCAATCGGTGTTTCCTAATTTAATTTTCAGAGATCTGGAATAATCTGCGAGCAAGGATAGGCACAGAGCTCTTGTCCTTTGACAACCCAGCAGAGAAGTTGACATGGCCTCTCCCACCCACCGTAACCATGGCAACCTCCCTTGGTGGTTTCCGTGGCTTGGCTATCAGCACCACCTTTGTCAGGCCCTCTGGGCTGGTAGCCCTAAACGTAATGCAGCTGCGTTTGGTGTCTCCCCTTAATACTCTGAATATTAGCAAATATTAGCAGAATTATCCCATTTGCTAAACTGAGAATTTGGGGGGATCTGCCCTTCCCCCATTCATAACAACACAAGGTATCCCCAATAGGCAAAAGAAAATGCCCCCCCCCAACCACACTGCCCTGCATTTTGCCAGAAAATGGGGCACCCCTGGCCAGATCCAGTCTTCATCTGCACACATCAGACACAAGGAGGAAGATTAAGCTGGAGCTGAGATTCAGAACAAGGGCAACGTCTGACACCTTTCCCCAGGCCATGGGGACAGAGGACCAGATCTTGACCAGGGGGACCTTTTTGCCAGTATCTCACATATATTCCTAAAGCACAAGCCTTTAGAGGTCAAAAGCAGCCCTTTGACCCACAAACTGGTTGGCAGCCAGTGAAGCAGGCCAGGATCGGGGGAATATGTTCAAGTCATCTTCTCCCAGGGAGCGGCCTGGCCTCTGAATTCTGCACCAGCTGAAGTTTCTGCACCGCCTTTGGAGACAGACCTCTGTGTTACGCCTAAAAAGGTAAAGGTACC